ATTCTTTCTTTCTTTTCACTTTCCCGAAAGCATGCAAAAAATTTTAAACATTTTGTTTTATCTTTTTTTAAATTTATTTATTGCATCTCGTTTTGGTCCCCCATTTTGTTTTGAATCTGTATTAGTGTACGCCAGAAATTAAGTGATCCATTTCTTGGGAAAAATTATGTTGCATGCCTTCTTTGATATCTTTTAAAATATTAAACTATTCGTAGCTTCTAATAACAACTGGCTATTCAAATCACGTCATAAGGATTCTTGAACATATTGATTCGCAATAAAGAAGATCATTATGCTCTTATCACTTTTTCGTGTAAAGATTTTTCCTCTGTTCTATTTGGTCTAGGATGATCTGGCATCTCACAAGCACTCATTTTTCGTTCCCATAATCCAATCTGATCGAAATAATAGACAATTGAGCTTATTCAATTCCATCCTTAAATATCTAATGATTCCTTTTTTCTTCTGTGCCATTTCGAATCGCCTCCTGCTTGGACTACTACTGAACAGGAGAGCTGTTGACCACTGCATCTTGGTTGCGCCAGCAGGTTGCCCAGCATCCTGACTATCTGGGGGACTCGCGCATTTCTTCCCGCCTAACACACGATCTGTTAACGGCATGCCTGCTCGTCACTAAGGGCCACTTGAGGCCTAAAGACCTACTTCCTGAATGTGCCTCGCGTACCACAACTCGTCTTCCTGCGGCGACTCTTACTGCTGAACAACTTCTTAATGCCAAGCGGAAGGCTCAGGTGGATGCTGCGCAGGAGTTGCATGCAGCAGTTTCGCGCCTTATTCAACCAGGACGTCATCCCGCTCGTGATGCTCCCAACACTAATAACGCATTCTCTGCCAACTGCCAAGATGGCCAAACTCCAAATCACTCTTTTGGAGTACAGTCTTCTCGCCCTTAATAAAGACTTAGTTGATCTTTTGATACCAGCGTAATTTCAATGTGAAATACTCCTGAAAGCTAAATTGAAAGCGGCTTTACCAAAGCATCTGCATTCATATTCGTCCTGTTGTTTCTCATTCTTTTTCTTAACTATCTTCTTCATAGTGATAATTTTGCTAGTGCTTTTGAAATTTTAACTTAATTGATGTCCATTAGCGATTCTTTGCTACAGAACAGATGCACAGGAGAGCTAAATGGAAAATCTATAATAAAAATTACTTCATCGATGAGTGAGAAGTAGAACAACTAAAGCCTTTTTTGCATCCATTTCCACTTTTCTCCATTTTTTCAATGCCCATTGTTTGCATTTTTTCATTTTATGGAATAATTTTCTCAGTTTTGCAACGACTATTTTGTTAAGTTTTGATACAAAGGCATCATGACCGGAGTATCTTTGGTATACCCCATGCTTAAAGGTTATCTCAACGATTTTCACAGGAAAAGAACTCTTTATTCTGAATACGAGTGTGGTAAATACATAAGCAGTGAAGTATAGCAAATGCCTAAATTAAAGCTAATCTTAACAAAGGCCTTCATGTTTGGTCTCCCTTCCCCATAGTTTTTACTCCGTTCCTTAGTTTAATTTTTTAAATTGTGTTGAATGTTAATTCTTTTTTCTCATGTTATCAGAGATATGCGATTTCGAAAGGAAAAAGGCAAAAATGTATGGCAGCATCTTATACTATTTCCGTAATTTTCTTCATATTTCACGCTATTCTCCTTACACTTTTATTCGCTCAGTTGATTATTCTTTTTGAGACTGATATCATTTTTAGGTCAGTCTTATTCATGATTTCGACATAAATGTTTATCTTTTCTACTTTTCTGGGTAATTCCTTGCATTCAGCAATTTCATAACTAACTGTACATGCATGCTTTAATTTGAATATTTTCAGCCTCTTCCCTGTATCCATTATAATTCAAAAGCTCCAGCAATAGATATTTATTTAAAACCTTTTATGAAATCTGATATTTTTTCGATGCCTTTCAATATAACATCTGTTGCTTTACACTTATTTTAAAATGACTATCAATAAAAAATCTTTTTTATGACTGATGACTCCGAAATGCTTTTAAATCTTAATGACTGGCAGTCTTCTCAGTTACATTATAGCCTCCAATAAGCGGATTTACTCCTACAGATGACCTTGGTGTCTTACTCATTCCCCAGACCTACTTTAACCTCTTCCGTGCCTTTTACTTAGTATGCTTTATCTATGCCTCAATAACACACTAAAATATGCTTCAAGATTCAATGACTAAATTTAATTCTCCTAACTTTATCCAATATCTAACATACTCAAATTGAGGATATAATTATTTTTTTACTTTACCTACCTCTACCATCACATCCTGTATATTTTTTTCTTCCCAATGTCCTCTGTTCGTGTTTTCTTCCTATATTTGTCCTTCCTTTGTTTTGTTCTCTTATCTCTTTACATTCGCAGACTTTAGGTAAACTTTATGATTCCTTTGACTTGGAAGTGCTTCTTATCTTAAATCCAGTTTTTCTGAGCTCGCCTGTTGCGCTTCCTGCTTTCCCACGACTTTGTGACACCGACTTTGTGACTGTCCTCCATAGTGTGAAATTCTTCCTTTTTATTTTCTCATTTTTCTAAATATTCATGTTTTGTGATATATTTCGCTAACTTTCTCACTAATTTAGCTAATTTATCCTCATTCTTATTAGATGGCAATTCATTTCATTACTGTGCTAACTTGGATTACATATTGGTTTTACTATTTTTCTATTTGTCACGAGAATGCGTTTTTACTATCATGATCACCATATTTTTAAGTTTTTAATCCTTTTTATTCATTATTTCGTCTTATTACTTAATAATGTGTGATAAATTCCATTTCCCTTGATCGATGATCTTTTATATATTAGGTTGTGACTGAAATTTGCTCCATTTCCACATTGATACCTACGAAACAATTGCCCTATATTCCACGTTTTCAGTCATAGACTGAGATAATATTTAACAAATCGGACAGGCAAACAATCCACTCCCTGTATTCTAAATTAACCTTATACTTCTCACAACAATATAGAATTCCACTGGTTAGTTTGACCCTTTAGGGGGAAAAAGATGCATGGGTTGTGCAATAACCTTCTTCTTGCTATATTATGGTTAGGTTTGCTTAGCACATGTGAAGAGGTCCAATCAAGATATATCCTGTGTAATGTGCCTCTGTGTGTTGTACTATTTAGGTATTTTTTTCCATCAATACTTCTTTAATCAGTAGTTGATTACTAATGATTGTTATTTGAATTTTAGTCCAATATATAGCATTAGCCTTGTCACCTAGAGGGACTGTAGTTTGAGGTTGGCTCAATTTTTACTCGGAAATTTGCAAAAAATACCTCCTTCGAAAATTAATAGCTTTATCCAGTATTTTTACAAGCACAAGTTTTCTCAATCGTGAATTTCTCCAAATGCAATTTGGGAGAGGTCTAGTTTGCCTTGGAAGTCACATATCTACCCCGTGAACCTTTAGAATTTGTGGCTGTATGGCTGAGCTGTAACGTATCGCAACTTCAGCCAAGTCTGAATTAGAACAACTTTCGGAAAGCAAGACTAAGAGATCTTTTTTGGTATCGTGAGGCTTTCATTTCACTGTGGAAAAATTAAAATATCTGTCCTTTGCTAAAATGCAATATGGGTTGACCACATTTTTTATATAAGAATTATTGCTATTCTAAAAAATTTGCGACCCAACAGACTGCTGCTTTGTTAGTTCATCGTGGCCATCAAGGTCTGCTTATCGATTTAATACGCTATTTTTCGTATTGTATCTGAGCTGTCGGTTTAGGGAAAAGCCCGAGTGCGTTAAAATCATATTAGTACGTCCAATTAAATCGAAAAGTTTGGATTAATCATCACTAGCTGAATTTATTTCAACATTTATAAAAACTATTTCAAAGCTTGACTCGGTTTATACTTTTCAAGCAAGATTACATACTTTCTCACTGAGACATATGCCAACTAATGTGATTTGTTGTTGGGGCGACTTTCATTTCGTATGAAAGTGTATGAAAAAGACATTCGTAAGTCGGTCTTACAAGAAGATGACGAGTGATTCCCCTTGTACTGCAGCCATTTGGCTTTAATAAAACGGTCAGGTTGACACGTTCAATGATGCATCCTCTTTCGCTTGGTTGAAAATGGTCTGAGCTTTCGTCCATCATATGATGTGTATTATCAGAGCTCTAACTCATTCTTGTAAAAGTCTATTGTTAACACTCGATAACGAAGACTATCCGGCTCTATCCTACCTCTTATATAAACTCAATTAAAAACGAAGAGTAATAGGCATAGATATAGGATGGTTTGGCTAATTATGTTTCGTATTGGTCATGTTACTTTTACTCTAATGCGTGTGTGCTAACGTCGATAGACAGTGATAAAAAGGCTAATGTTAAGCTCTGATCATCAAGGCTCAATGACTTAAGAATAGATCCTGATCGAGACCACGTAAATCCGTAAGCAAATGTGCTTGAGATAATGGGTTGTAAGCTTGTAGGCGTGTAAGCGTGTAAGTTAGGCTATGAAACCACCTGTCCTAACTTCTCGGTGTGGGGTCATTGAGGCTTAACCAGCCAAGGAAGGAGATGGCTGGGGCTACGTAATCTCTTACATCTGGTTTAGTTGATGAGCTTAGTCTAACATGTTGGATGAGTGTGAGTAAAATAAAAACCATCACCGAGCTGAAAAGCTGGGTCGCCTTTTGGATGTTGGTTCAACTCCCTCTCTCTAGTCTGTCAATCAAACATAATTATCTCTTGGAGTGGGTTGACCTCGTTGTCGCAACTTGGTTTTATTATCAGGGCGACTATGTAGAACGCACATACTCCGAAGCCGTCTGCCATAGTAGTTATAATTCCCAGCATCTGACAGTGGACTTGATACATTCTCAAAAACGTTTCGCAGGCATCTTAGTCGGCATCATCAGTGAGTTTGCTATTCTCGACACCAAGCTGCGAACTCGTCAAAGAGACAAGTGAAGTCAATCCCTCGAGAACCGTTCTGCCGAAAACGGTTACACTATCACTCCTCTTTCTGTTATTGTCTATCTATATGCTCTTAACACTCTTATCCCACTGCCGCCCTGTCACAACTTCTCACTTGTTTACATTCAAATCGTCAAAATTTGTGCCCTTTTGTGACAATTTTAGTGTGGACCCATCACACTTGCTATCTACCCCGACCCCTCTCTTTTTATCGGCTTATCCGACTCGGGCCTCCAATCTCGGATACCTTCATTGTCTCGTGGATCCGTTCCTTATTTTTCTGGTTGACCGATTTCACTCGGTTCCAGTCCCTGTGTGAATTTCACTCCAGGCGCTATTTCTCTAGGCCCTAGAAGAACGCACACTGCCGCCTCACTGAACAGAGCGCATAGGTTCTGATTGCCATACTTGCAGATATCAAGCCTTCCCTTCATGGGACCTCTAACTTAATTAAACCCATGTTATCTGAGCAAACTGTGGACGCCTAACCCTAATCCTGATCGCATGCGGCATCTCAATTGGATCTCTAGTGCATTTTGGCCATGGCGCCAAATTTCCCTGACGGTTTGCTTATCCGTCTGCCCAGCCCCCTGACTGTCAGACCCCCAAAGTTCTACTGGTTTATTCAAAATGGCCATCACAGTCAATGACAGAAAGAGGAGTCATAGTGTAACCGTTTTCGGCAGAACGGTTGTCGAGGGATTGACTTCACTTGTATCTGCCGCGTTCGTAGCATGGTGAGAAGAATGGCAAAGCTCACAGATGATGCCGACTACGATGCCTGCGAAACGTTTTAGATTGTATTAAATCCACTGTCAGATGCTGGGAATCATGACAACTACTATAGCAGACGACTTCGGACTAGGTGCGTTCTACATATCGCCTTGACAATAAGACTAAGTTGTGACAACGAGGTCAACCCACTTCTACTCGTTTGAGACTAT